AGACCCACCAGGAGTCAAAACATCATCTCTTCCCCCTCGTCTCATCCCCATCATCTCATCCCCATCATCTCATCCCCATCATCTCATCCCCATCATCTCATGGTTCAGGGACTACAGTCGCTGATGTGTGCAGACACCCAGGGCTGTACGTAGCAGCCCCTTCGCCTTCATAGTCCTGTCTGTAGCACCCCAGCCCCTTCGCCTTTATAGTCCTGTCCCCTACACCTGCTGGAAAACAGGATTTGATTGGTTGTAAGCACCCTGTCTTCTGGGTTGGCTGGCCTTCTCAGTAAACACCTCATATGGTTCAACCCGGCCTTCGTTATTGGACACAGGGACAGGCAGCCCCAGCCCACCCGGGGGTTTCCCAGTAACATAAGGAGGGTTTTGTAAAGGCCCCTGAGCTGGGCGTTGAGGAGGGGCCTTCTCAAGTTTCATCAGGCCTAGGCAAGGCAGATGGAGCAGGCACCGCTGGGACCCCATCATGGCTTTCCCCGGCCTCCCTGACCCCCTGAGCCACCCACTGGGAGGCCTTGATGGGCAGGTCTATGACCCAGGCCTCCCCTTCCCTGGCCCTCACTTGGCGTTGGCTCTGTGCTGCTTGGCATTGGCTCTGTGCTGGGCCACGGCCATCTTCGTGGGCATCAGGAAGAGGACGTCGGTCTCAAACTCCACCACTGTCTTCTTCTTGGCCTCCTGGGAGGAGTCCTGGGCCCAGGGGGCCGTGTAGAAGTCAAAGGTGGCATTGGCACCTCTGGGCCCCTTAGCAATGGTGAAGCCACTGACCAGCTTGAAGAAGTCCTCCCTGAAGGGACAAGCCAAAACTTGTTCCTGGACCTGGGCCAGCGGTAGCATCCCCCACAAACCACCGTAAGGGGCCTGTGGATGGCCCGCTACACCGGCCAACAACCTTCTCCAGCTGAGGCCTCCCCAAGAGGCCCCCAGCACTGCCCTAGCCCTGAACCCTACTCACCCTGTGACGGTCAGCAAGGCCACGTTGATGGCTGGCAAGTCAACGCTGGCAAAGATGTGGCCATCCATGTCGTTGGTGCCAGCGATGTAGTCGATGTCGGCCGCGTTGGCAAAAAGGTTGATGGGGTCGTCGGGGATGAAGTCTCCGTCCACGACAGGCATGAGGCCCAAATAGTACAGGAGTGGGTCTGCTTGTAGAGCAGGGGTCCTCACACCTTTCAGAACCCCCTGCCAGACCCCAGGCCCAGGGGCAGCTCCTGCCTCCTCTGATCCAGACCAGGGTCCTCAGCCTGTCCCCTGACATGGGGCCTGGATAGTTCTAAGGCCTGGGCTGCCCTGCGGGTGTGGAGCAGCTTCCCTGGCCCCGTCCATTAGAGGTCAGCACCCCCCAGTGTGGCAACCCAGACTGTGTGCGGACTGCCACAGGCTCCCTCGGGCCAAACCATCCCGCTGACAGCCACTGGGTCTGAGGCCCCTAAAATTGGGTGCAAATGACTGTTTCTGTCCGTTGTGGGGGAAAAGGTGCACCAGCTTCCCAAGGGGGTCAGGACCCAGAGAGGCTCAGTAGTAGGGATGGCACCCTTGGCACAGCCATTTGAGGCCACGGAGGCAACAAGGGCCCCGGCGGCACCGGCCTTCCAGGGACACCAGTGAGCGGGTGACAGGCCAGACAGCATCCCCTCAATCCTCACTTCTTGGGGAGCATGGCCATCCCCCCATGTGGAGACCCCACTCACACTTCCGTCCCAACAGGGGCATCTTATAGGCCAGCGTCAGGGCCCAGGGATCGGTGACCTTCAGACACTTGGCCATCCTGGCGGTATCGTTCAGGGGGCAGCCCACCTTCTTGGCGATCTGGGTGTTGCAGGGAGACAGGTAGGTGAGGCCAGTGTGGGGCAGATGGCCATGGGGACCGGGACAGGGCACGGATAGGAGGTAACCCTCCCCCCACCCACCACAGATGCCCTTTACCTGCTTAGCCCAGGAGAGAGGGTTCTTCTGGATGGCCCAGGGGGTCAGCGCCACGCCGCTCTGGCTGATGGCTCGCCGGATGAGGCCCTTGTTGTAGGGAGAGAGGATCTGCGACACACAGAGGTCCAGTTACCATGGCCTCGCCTCTCCTGCCCACCCGGGCGCCACCAGGGACAGCCAGACTGTCAGCTTCATGCTGTTCCCCACAGCCCCCATCTGCTCCCCCAGTTCCCATCACATCACCCAGCCACATCAGCTCCCCCAGTTCCCATCACCTCACACAGCCACATCAGCCCACCCAGTTCCCATCACCTCACACAGCCCCCATCAGCCCACCCAGTTCTCACCCCCTTACCCCATCAGCCCACCCAGTTCTCATCAGCTTACCCAGCCTCCATCAGGTAACCCAGCCTCCATCAGCTCTCCCAACACCCATCAGTTCCCTCAGCCACCATTAGCTCTCCTAGCTCCCATCAGCTCCCCCTGAGCTCCCCGCTAACACCCTGGGAGGAAGGCCCACCCTCCCACTGTCCATTAGACCTGCAGAGAGACGCTGACACTTCCAGATGATTGCCCAAAGATGGTGATGTTGTCGGGGTCCCCCCCAAAGGCCGCAATGTTCCTCTTCACCCACGCGATGGCCATGTGCTGGTCCCAAAGACCGTAGTTACCTGGGGCGGATGGGGGAGCCCATCAGGACCGGGGTGGGGGGAGAGAGTCCTCCATGTGGAGGCCCCTGTCAAGCCCCAGGATGGTGCAGGGCAGGTCCCAGGAGGCTGTTGAATGAGGTGCTGGAGAGGGTGTGGGGCTCAGGTAGGGGACCAGAAGCAGGAGGGCCAGGCTGCTCTACTCTCTCCCTGACACGGTCCCTATTGTTGTCTGTCTGTCCTATGACTCTGTGTCCCCTGAGTCACCACGTCAGTGTCTCATCTTCTGTTTCTCCCTGGGTCCCTGTCCCTGCTCCCTGGTCTTCCTGGGTCCGGGTATCTGCTTCCTGGTGTCCCTGGGTCCCTGAATGGCTGGCTGGCAACCTCTTCTCTCGCTACAGCTGCCGATGGGCTCCTGTGTCTCACTGTCTATCCCCAGCTTTCTGCTCTGCCAGTAGAATTCTGGGTCTTTCTGGAAGGTTGTCAGGAGTTGTTCGGTGAAAGTGGTGCTGAAGGGCCCCTGCCAGCTCCCTCACCCCTGGACTCACGCGCCCGACACACCTGGCAGGTTGGCGTCCCCAGTGCTGAGGAAGCCCAGCGGCCCGAGGCGGTAGTTGAAGGTGACCAAAATGACGTTGCCCCGCGTGGCGATCTCCTCCCCGTCGAACTGATAGTCACTGAAGAACTTAAACCCTTGGCCAGTCCCAAAGAAGAAGGCCCCTCCGAAGATCCAAATCATGACAGGCAGATTCTGGGAAACTGAGGCAGGAGAGCAGACCCGGTGACCCCAGCTGCCCCTCCCCATCCCCTCTGGGTGCTTGTTTCAGGGAATTTCAGCTCTGGAGCCCACACACAGCCAAGGGGCTGGGCAGGGCTGGGCCTCTGGCTGCCTGGGCACTTTCTTTAGGTTCAGGGACCAGGAAGGCATGGGGTGGGGGGATGCACCTTCCTTCTGGCCCTGGGGGACCCAGATGTTGAGGTAGAGGCAGTCCTCGGAGCCCCTGGTATTTAACTGTGTGAGAGTGACTTGCAGGCATGGCTGCTTGAAGTCCTTGGCCTTCAGGGTCCCTGTGGGTGACCAGAGTTGCTGGCGTGAGGATGGTGGCCCCATATCCCACCGCAGGCACAGGGCCAGCTCGGCACCCCCACACCCTCTCCCACTGACTCCCACCTTGCCAGCCGGGGTGCGGCTGGGGGTTCTCCAGGGCCGTGGTTGGGGCGGCGAAGGGGATGCCCTTGAAGATGTCCACAGAGAGGCCGCCCATCCCGAAGAGGCAGAGCTTCTTGTTGACGCCCTCCACAAAGCCCCCTTCCGTGTGCACTACGCCCAGCTGGGGAGAGGGCCAGGCTCAGGGGGTGCAGGCTAGGCGGCCAGTGGGGTGGGGCAACCCCAGCAGGCTCTAGGGGTCCAGGGCGGCTTCTAGGTAGGGACCCTAGTCACACCCGCCGGTAGCTGTGGGTTCCTGTGGAAGCCCCGCTCCTCGCCCCCTTGCAGGGCCCTGAGGAAGGAGACCCTGGAGATGCCCCAAGGCTCTTAGGTCACCCTGGAGGGACCCCGGCAACTGGCAAGCAGGTGTGTGTCGCCCCTCTCAGGGGCTGGGGGCCGGGGGCCGGGCTCCGGGTTGAACTAGACTGAGGTCCAGACTCGTGTTCTGACGCCGAGGTCTGTGATGGGCAACCTGCTGGCCTGCTCAGGGCCCAGCTCCCTTCTGTGCGGGGCCATGGCCATCCCCAGACAGAGGAACACCCTGAGGGCCCTGGTGGCCAAGGCGGACTCCGCACATCAGCACTGAGGACGCCAGTGACCCTGGGTTTTGTTTGTGTTTGGCGTCAGTCACCCTGTGTGCCCTGAGAGCGCCTGTACCAGAACTTATTCATGGTTTCTGACGTTCAAGTTCGCGGGCGTCCTGTATTTGAGCTGCGTCTGGACCATCGTGTGAGTGCGGATGCAGGAGCAGAGGAAGGGCTGGGAAAGTGCCTGCTGGGTGTGGGGTCTGGGGGCTCTTCCTGCCAGCGCCTCAGCTGCCTGCTCCCCTTCACCCCCCCACCTACCCTCCGAGGTGTCTGAACCAGTTCCCAGGCTGGGTTAGGGGAGCAGACAGGGGCCCCTCCTCGCCCGCTGGGCTCTCGCTTACCTTTGCGGCGCTCACTACTGCCAAGCAGCAGGCGAGGCCTAAGACAGCCAGCTCCAGGCGCCCCATGGTGCGTGTGTCTTCCTGGGGGGCCCCTGCCTCTGTGCAAGGGTATTTATGGGGCAGGACATCCGGGAGACATCCGGGAGCCGGGCTGGCAGATGCCTGTTGATGGTTCCCTTCCCCTCCCCTCACTCTGCCCCTCCCTCCAGGCAGG